TGCTCGTTTTGACTGGAGTGTTAAAGTGACACCACAGTATTGTTGATTCCTTTCCTCTATTCTGATTGTGTGCAGCGTGATTTCACGTTTTCTTTTTTCCGTTTTGAGCCTATAATGCCTTTCGCATTTTTAGCTAGAATTAATCCATTCTTTGGCCTTGTCATTGCGCTCGGGGTTTTGCCATCTTTCGGCCACCCGTTAGGAATCAGTACTTCAGAAACCGGTGTATGAAGTCCAGCATAACCCCAAAATTTGAAGTTTTTACAATCTTATTATTTAATTTTCTTATTCTAGGTGCCGCATTTGTTGATAACATTTGTTGACAACTTAACTTGGCACAACTGATTGCTGGATATAATCAATAATTATGTCCAACTGTAGTAGTTTTGCATACATCATAAAATACAGTTAAATGATAATCATAAGTTTGCATACATCATAAAATACAGTTAAATGAAGTTCGCTTAACTCCCAGCGGGCTGGAGAGAGAGTTTTGTTGGATTGTGTACGTTGCAAAATAGTTTAAAAGCATGAAAATCATGCCGTTCTTAGAGATGCCGTTTGATATAACCATGGTGCTGATCACTGCGTACCTGCATTTTATTTCCTTCCATGTCGATCGAATTCTGAAATCATTTCGTTTGCCTTCTATTGCCCCTACATTCTTTAAATTCCGTGCTTCGTAAAGCATTATTGTATCTTCCAAAATTGTTATCGGATTGGATCAGGAATAAAGTAAACTCTTTTGTACAAAGAAGAGTGTCAAACTGAGAGATTCTGTTCGTTTATGCAGTAGACCACATAATCTGGAGAAATGAAATAGGACACAGTAATTGCCGCTCTTCAGTGGTTGTGAGATATGCCTGGTTTGCATTCATATGGCACGGGTCATACCAGTGCTCCACGAAAACGGAACTTCCTCTTGCTTAGACAATTTCCAAGAGAACTTTACTGTTATCGAAATCCTCTCCGGAGCACTTATTGGCTGCCTACGATGTATAAGTTCATGGATGAATGAACAACAACGACTAAATACCTCATGATTAACGTACTCAAAGCAGGTCACTCTAGGGAGCATTTTTCTATTTAATGTTCCACGCCTGCGTTTCTGTGGCAATCCGAGCTACCGCGGTGACAGGGCAAAATGAGAGTTGCTTGTGACTAGATTTATTCGAACGACAATGACCAAATGTTTCATAAATTCATCTGGCGCTATAGAGATCTGAACATCTGCTGTCCTGAATCGTTCGACCATCTCTTTCCAGTATGGTTTGTGCTTTGAGTGCACGAAGTGCATAAATGTTTGTTGCCCGTACATTTGTTCCGTACCAAAAATATTTCCAACTTTTTGTTATTGATTTTTGCTTTGATGATAATCCAAATGCCTTGGTATACAGGTATAACAGATTGTACAAAGTTGTTCCACTATGAAGTTATTTGTTAAGACGCCACTTGGTACTGAGGTCGTATTTCATTTTCAGTGTCATTGTCATCCGCACAGTGCGTCTCTGTAGAACAACGGACGTGAAATAAAGCCTTTTTATTGTGTGTGCAGAGAAAGCGCTGTTAATTCAACTACAGAACTGACGGTTGCCGCCGCTCAGATAGAATTTACAAATATCACATGTATGCACAACCCTATGTAAATCTTCAGAGCGACGAATATTTTACAAGTGATTTCAAGCACACTGAATGCTTTAGTATATGGAAAATGTTTGCGCCAATTCATTATTTGTCTGTCAAAATAATACGTTACACTAACATCTGTGTTGGACAACTGACGAGTTAGGGTTCAGTGTATTTGATAGAAGCTTCTGCCCTACAGAAGTGTCTACCACCTTTATTATGGGCTTTTTAGTTTCTGTAGAGAATGAAATAAGTAGTATCAGCGGATATCCATGCTCAAGGCATTTATTGATTGTGAAATTTCACCGATTTGAAAATTGTTTGACATAAAAAACTTCTAAGCGATTCCCTAGGCCAAAAATTAACATGAGTCATGAGTCACAAGACCGACACAAACATTATCACCTGAAATAGCAGCATTAGCGTTGACCCTGATATCTTCAAACATTAGGGCAGTGTTTTCTGCGCGCTGCAGATCATCTAGGTCCTCACAGGAGTTTTGAAGTCCTCATTAGTGCCTGCCTCAACAGCTCATCGATGACGGATTTGAACGGAAAAGTGGCGAGCAGTGAATTTCGTGGACAGAGCCGCTTGTAGGAAAACGTTTGAAACCTTCACCATCCACTCTCACATTCCCACTTTTTTTTAGAATAAAGGCTGAAATTCGCTCATATACTTTTCGAGACACCAATTGTTGAACAAATGTAGTTCCAAGAACACACTTAGAATAAAGCTGAAATTCGCTCATATACTTTTCGAGACACCAATTGTTGAACAAATGTAGTTCCAAGAACACACCAGTCGATAGAAGTCAGAGGACATCACAATCATGAGTTCTTCATACATATGGCTTTGCCGTAGCACCTGATGGAACGTGAAGATGGGGACAACTCAGACTCGTCCCAATAGAAATTCTACTTGTAGTTCACTGGTCAAACTTTCACGTATCGTTTAAGGACGACGCATAATCAGCGACGTTAGGAACTGTCTTACAATGGAAGAAGTGTATGCTCAGAGTCCTCACAAGTACTCCAGAAGGAGGCGGGCAGTGATCGATCCTAATCACTGGTAACTGTTGGTAATGTGGATTGGGAACTGGTTCGTTGATGGCCAAACAACTTTCGCTGTTTCGGATATATGTACTGAAAATGAACAGCCCACGATCAACCACATCTGTAGTGGCACTCTTCGCCGTCAGTGTGTTTCTTGTCCAATCTGTGACGATAACCTGAATGACTCTCAGCAGTTCTAAACATACCTACACGAGCCTTCCTACCACCAGCAGCAAAAACTATGCCTGAGCTTATAGCTAGCTCTAGAACACCTAGTGTATCACAGAAATCCTGTTTGGTAGACTCAGAGCTGTAGTCGGTCGGAGCGCAGTTAGATACAATTAACATGGACAGTGTGCTTCTCTTTCTTCAGAGTCTTCTTCTGAGATGACTATCACCCGGTAACCGATCAAGTAAAGTTGCCTCCTCCAATCAGGTTAGTACCCTTTATGGCATAGTCAGCCACAGTGGCGCCAGCGACAGTATGTTTTCGCCTGCCCATCCTGCTTTATACAGAAACCAAGGCGACCCAGCTGATAGCAGCACGTGACGACTGTTATGGCATGACAGTAAATCTACCCGTGTGGTACGTGGTTGCACGTGGACTGATATATTTTTGGGATGACCGTACCAACACTTCAGGACTATTATGACGCTAAGTCGAATTTTTTGGTTGAAAATCCTGACAACAATGTTGCGGATCGATTACAAAGCAATGAAAGTCCAACCCTCCAAACCTTTACTGAATGAACAACCTGGTGTGATGAGCTGTGCGGTTGCCAAGGCGAAACCCCAACAACCATAGCTCGGTAGGTCAAAGAGGGGACGCTAACCAGCACACCACGACAATACCTCTATCTAAAGCGGCAGGTCGAGAGTAGTCAACTAAAATGTCCACCCGATTAACAGCATTCTTGCGGTTTCAACTAGTGGAAGCAAAATTTTTGTGGATCTTCACGAATACTTATAAACGTTTATGAACCAATTATCCATGTTTGGCCCATCTGTCACCAATCGCTAAGCAAGAGTGCTAATGTAAAACTAATTGTGTGCATGGGCTGATAAGCAGTTCGCTGCCTGATTCACGGACTAATTCTCTCTATCGGAACATTCTTCGGTGCCTAGTTTTACAAATGAAGACAAACGTATGCTTCAGTTAAATTGTCTATAATTTACACGACTGTACCTGAATAATATGTAGCAGAAATCTTGGACTAGGAGCGCGATACATTTTTTACCCAACTTGTAATGCCACATTTCAACATCTTTCAGTTGCCTAGATCGGGAAAAAATGTCGCCTGAGGGTAACTGAACTTGGCTTGGTTTAGGGCGCTAGCTGATTTTTCTACTTTTCTTCTTTATGAAGCCTTGGATGTGAAAGCCTCGATGGTTGATGCAGAATGCTGTCAGATGTATAACTTTTCGTTCTACTTGAGGTAAGATTAAGTGTAACAGGAACGGCTGCACTTTTGTGTCTTCCGTAATTTCTTATCTTTTCCCAGAGTGGAATCAAAATGTTGGTTTTCAGAAATGTGACGATTCCGTCTGTATATTTGACCTATTTAACTTCAAACTTCATTGGATCATTGTTCCTTAAACAGTCAGGAAAATTTGAAAATAATCGTCCAAGTGCTTCCCCGGTCAAAGTAACCACGTGGGCTGAACGAATGAAGCGCTGCACTGTGGGATCAATTGTTAGTGCCGTAGACCATCAGCCGACTCACGGCGACTCACGCTGGCGTGTTTGGCTTTAGACTAACATTTCATTACAATGTGCAAACCTGGCTGCCCCGCATACCGCAGCAGGTTTCCTAAAGTGCTCAAATATTCCATGGTTACCCTGCTTAAGCTAGGTATGTTCTAATTTATTTCCATGAATCCAAAAGTTCTACCCGTTTTCCTATAGATCTGAGTTCTTCCGAAGCGCCTTCCGATTGTGCGACTATCTTCAGTTTCTCGGGGATCTAAATGACCCGAAAATACCCGTAAGTTGATAGTGGTTTCTCCGAATTTCAAGCATCTGGATGAAAGAATCTGTATCCTATGAAATTTTACCTCGAGCAAAGTAACAATAAAAACCACAAAGTGATAGTGCCTGATCATAGAAAAAAACTGTTATTTATATGCTCCGGTTTAATTTCACGTAGTAAAAAAAGAACCAATAACCGTCTGTAACGTGCAAAGTGTAAACGTTTATTCTCACAGGTTCTGTCAAAACACTAAACCTCACCACCAGCTTTACAGGCCGACTCTTGCTAGCAGTCTGACGATCAATAAATTTTCAAAGACTGCCAAAATGCAAAGGTCACGTGACACTACCATATGACCAGTTCTCATGATGTAATACGCTCTCAGCCGGATGGGCTTCGAAAACTTAAATACGAAGATGGCCCTAGGGAAACTGCAAAAATCCACAAAAAAATTAAGGAGAGATCCAAAAAGCTGCACAAACAACCAAACAAGGATCCAGGGTGCAGTACCGAAGATTACAACGTAGTACAACGCAATACAAGCGGAGCCCGGTCAGACACCGAAAGCTCTTCATCAGACGATCCATCAAATGAAGACGACGAATCGTCTCCTGTCTCATCAGGAGATACCGCCAGTGACTCGGGAGCAAAAGATATTCCTGCGAAAGAAAGTGGTTTGCGGTGCTGCTTACTATGCGCTTGTTCCGAATGTTGTATGCGCCGTAACTGTCCAGAACGTTGGGATAAGCTCTATTACTACCTTCAGACACAGAGCCAGCACTGCCCAAACGGCTGCCCTACAATCGTACCTCGTCCGGAGGAAGAAGACTGGAAACATCCTGGTGGATACGGAAGCAAATACGCCTGCTGCTCATTTTGCGGTCATCCTGGCTGCATAATCTGTCTGAAGTACACCGACTGCTTACTCTGTCCGATTTTACCAGTATGGGAATGTTGCAAAGGGATTGACGATGGATACAGAAGATACCGTATTCAACTGCGTCTGTATCGCTACAGGGATTCCCATAAGAAACGATACCTAGTTCTGGTTTAACCAAGTGGGAAATGACTGAACGTATAAATCTCTGGAAAACGTCTATTCCGTTGACTGGCAAGCTATGAGACTACGGAAGAGCAGCACCCCAACAGCTTCATCCATTGCATGCTCTGATCAGAAGCCACGTTCACCAGAGTAGGTAACGGCATTTTTCTAATTATGCTTTGGTTCACTACATACTCATTTGCTCCCAGAAGTAGCCCAGTTGTTATCGATCAATGAAATAAACACCGCAATTGTGCTGTTAGAATTAAGTTCTCTATACTTGAGGAGATTTCAATGTAGCAAATCGGGAGACAAGTGCAGAACTTGCGGTTGAACAAACAGAACTCAGTTCAGCATGAGACTGAAGCAACAGAATAGGTCATTTTGGGTTCGTCTTTTTTAAGAGAGCACTGGAACTTCGCATCTTACCTACCAGACTCGGCAGTACGAAAGCAAATTTAGCAACGCAAAAAAACTTAAAAGAAGAAAAGTAAGGTGATGGAAAGGTCATTCGGGAGGAGGCTTAAAAAGGCACGTGATAAGCATCACATGATAGCTCGTTTTCTACCGACCAAAGGGTGTTACTTTAGTAGTCCTGGAATACCGATAAGATCCGAGCGCCCAACGATGCTTGTTTGCACATATCCGTGAACTAGAGACGAACTGCAAGTGATTTCATTGCGCCTATTTGTCTGAAAAATGATCGACGGAAGAAAATATGACACCATAATTCAGAGGAATGATACTATCAGCGTCGGCTCCGGGCGGAAGTCGAAAGGTCACTGTCCCTATTTCTATTGAGACTTGGCACTTCGACTGATATCAGTCCACACTGAAAAGCCGTAAAGTACTGCCTAGCAACACGCATCTCACGAATCCCCAGGGCGGTCAAACTCGTGAAATTTAGCAGCTGAATTCTTCTGCCGTGTGGGTTGATCGGCAGTTTGATCAAGCTACACCGACGTCAATCTCCACACCACTAACTATCGACCCTTACCTCGGTTGGCGGCATGTTAGATAAAAAATGTATGCAACTTGTGGAATTTCATTACTTCCGAAAGCAGCCAAACTAAGATTTCTTCAGTTCTTTGATGACCGTTATCTCAACCGCAACACTCGTGTGGGTTGGTACCAAGGTAACCGCGAAGAGATGCCTGGCAAGTGAGTGTTTGGTTGCACAATATGAACTTTAATCATAGAATGTGTCAAACCCCAACACTTGTAGGCATTCAAAATCACTGTTAGCCAAAAAGTGCCGTTTTTGGTGCCCGGTTGAGAAAGAAAGTAGCAGAGGAGTTGCCAAGCTTCCATCTGGAAGAGGGCCACGAAGTAGGTAACGAAAAACTGGGTATCGTCGACGTGCTTCACCTTCAAGCCTGGAGTTCACGTAGCCTTTTATGCATGCTTAGAGGCGCCGCAAGCTGTGTTTATTACTGAAAATCGATCGCGATCAGTCTTTATTCAGATTGCCTGAACCATTGTATGGAAGTTAACCAATCTCGAAATAATTGTGGCAGGCTGTTGAGGATAAGAGGTTTAGGAAAATCGTCGTAGCAGCGAGCTGAGTGGAAAGTATTTTCTTGCTTATACCTCAGCTGCATTAAAGACACGAATAAGCTTTTAACCACAGGTAATGAGGACAGAAACCGTGCGAGAGATGAGATGCATTTTGAAAGCAAGAGGAATTTTCAAGGCAGAGGAGGAGCCTAGTAATTCTGCAAAATATATCCACTTATTCATTAATTTGATTTTACTGAAAGATAAAGAGCTGAACTTCTAGTTCAAAGGATTCCTCAAGTAAATGTTTGTCAGAAGAACCACACAGTGTTTCAGTTGGAAAAATGTTCGGGAAACTCTACCCATTAGATCACTGGAAACGCTTCAAGAGCCCGTCACCTATTTTATCGCTCCTGGAACTCATCAGATAGGTATAGTTCATGTTTAACGTAACCATTTGATGCATAGTGTAAAAGCGAGATCCAGTTGAGTTTAGCGGAGTCTTAATTATTCTGCAATAGGTAATGTTTCATAAATCGCGTTTAAATTAGTGTTCGAGTGCAACACAGTGTTAATGGAGATAGGTACACTTAGTTTGCCAGATACACTAGTAAGTGATGCACTGAAACGGAAATGCAAGTCATCTTTCCATTTTGGAGCGAGTTGCAAGGCAACAGATTAAAGTACAAATTCAGGTTTAGACACCGTTCCTTTACAATTTCAATAGCGCTAAATTTTAGCCATCTAACTGGGTGCAGCCAGGCTTCCTTAAGAGCATATCACAATAGGCTCTCCATCTGAAGTTGATATATACGTCTGTTTGCTCCAAGCAACAACTAGTTTTAGCCCCTTTCTCGATATAGTGTTATTAGGCTCATCCAGTGAAAAAGCCGTTTCCTTCGGGAGGTCAGATTTCCCACATGAGCTCCGGTGGAAATTGATTCCCATCATATAAAAAAAGATGTCTAATTAGCCATGAAATTTTCACAGAAACCTAAAGCTGAATGGGTAAAACACCAAAAGATCCCACACATGCAAACCATTTTAGTTCATTATTTTCAGCCGAGGAGGCAAAAAACAAACTACGGGTCGGGCAAAACCTGAGTGTGTATTGTGGCATAACTTTTGGCCAAACGATTAGTGGATTAGCGACCATCCTGCTTTGTTAAGATAATTCTGGGCTAAAGTGACATTCAGTTGAAATGCCATCGAACACAAATTCCTACGTATGATTACCGAAATTCTGACGTTACGGTTCAGTCATTGTTGTTTCTTGGCGCTAGTGCGCCTTTCATCATGATGTCCGGTATCCACTTGAATGCGGTGGCGCCGGTAGGCAAACGGTTCTGGTACTACTTCATAATAGTGATATTCCAGTTCTGCCGTCTCTCTTAACTTACTTTGAGCAACCAGTTCCATTGCAGGCAGGTTGATTTAAGTCCATTTGTTTTTGGAAATACTGAATTCTGCAAGTCGTAATCACGCTTAGGCTGCTTGTGGAGGTAGATTTCGTTGTTATAGTGGCGACCGTCGGTTGATGTGTGTTTATTACGAGACATCAATGGGTGGTTCAGTCGCTTATTTTCTGACGGCGGCATTATGCTGACAGACCAATCACGACGGTTACAGTATTGATCGTGAAGAAAATCCGGAAAATGTGCTACGTGAACTTTACAGAAGTTTGGTGCATCGGAAACTTTGCCCGTTTGTAATTAGGGGGCAAGGAAGTTTTCCACGAGTGGGAAAAATTGGAGAAACTATACAGAATAAGTAAAATAAGAGTGACTTAGTTAGACTGTGAATTCTACAGCTAGATTGGAGCTTCTCTCCTGATAATATGGGACGAAGCCTCGAAAGACAAACAATATTGTCGCTGGAACGAGACAATGGTCCTGTTAAATCCATAATACTGAAAAATAATGCGCGCTCCTTGCTTTGATTTGTGGCTTCGGCTATCGTATCATTAGCAGACAGTACGTACTACACGCTCCACCGAGGCCTGACAAAGATGGTGACAGTAGAGCATGGTGTTGCTGGTCCAGTAGTATGCGAAGGACGCAAAATAATAATGATGTCTGAATAGGGGCCATTTATAGTGCTTATCATCGCTTGTGGCTAAACTCTTAAGTGTTAACCCCACTGGCCGGAAGGTTGCGGGATTGAAAATTTCTGAGTTTTGTGAGGTGCACACGGCTGAAGTGTCCAAGAAAGGATGAAACAGCTGTACAGTGCCTCTTGCTTTCAGCATGGATTTGCCCCAATGACGATAAGGAATCCCTATGGAGGACTGATAGAAAAATTCAAATCACGATTAATCAGCATATGGAAGGCCGCCTCGTGTTTCAGTTGACGAAAAATTGCACTTACCTGATGAGCCTCAAAAAGGGTGAAAACGATCGTGGGCTATGGAAGAGATTTTAGCAAACTTGTGAGTGGTTTTCTTGTGTTTCAGTGAAAAATTGCACTTACCTGATGAGCCTCAAAAAGGGTGAAAACGATCGTGGGCTATGGAAGAGATTTTAGCAAACTTGTGAGTGGTTTTCTTTATGAGACCATACTGTGGTCCCTCGAATATCGTACCGAATAAACTAGTGGGCGTCTTTTGTGGAGCATATTCGTTTGAAGGATTCAGTTGAGTTGCCCGTGAAAAACAAGTTGGCATGGAAATGGGTGTATTAGTGGAAATCCGTTCAATTTCGTTGCAAGTAGAATATAAGTTTACGGAAACTTGGGGACTGTGCACATCTGACTATCCAGAAGAGCGAAGCCGACTGTCGTCTGTTGAAGCGTTCCCAGAAATCTTATGGGTAATTTCCTTCATGAAAATCCGACAGACTTTTCCTTTTTAGTGTCCGATCTCCAGATATTTCCCTGATCCGCCAATGGAAAATCCAGATTATTTACTGGAGTTTGGTATGAAACATAGTGCCTAACTTGGATTCTCGAACACGGTTGACATATTCGGCGTAACAATTTCGCAAACATCCTTTACAGTCCACCTGGTTGATCATCTAGGTTATTTTGTGTACGCTTTCTTTGTGAGGTAATTTGCTGCTGTTGCACATGTTATTTACCCGGAGTTTAATTGCTAATCCGAGATCCGCTGTTTGCGGGAAGATAAAAACGTTGAGGCATCTGATGTCCTTTCAGATTTTGGTGTATGTGTGGGAATAACGTTGTGTTGTAAGCACGCCTGAGTGCAGCCAACAGAGCAGAAACATCCAATGGCTATCACTGACTATCGTTTATTCTGTTAGCTAGTGGATGTTGTCAATCATTGACCTGAGGTACGAGTTATTCCCGTGACATTTTTGCGGTGGGGTAACACTTGCCATTACATGATATTTCGATTATTTGGCCCCGTTTGAGAGACTTGGTTCCCCGCTGAGAACCGACCACACTTTGACATTGCAGGCAGGAGTACAGGTACAATAGCTATCACAGCACAGTTACCACCGTCTCTTCAGGACAAGAGCAACCTGTGTTTTGCCGTCTTATTCATGAACAGTCATAAGAGCAGGACATTATCTGGAGAAACCGCTCGTATAATTTTTATACATATCATTCAATATTGAAAATATCCTGATAGTTCCGCAAACTAACTGCACAGAAAGGATTTAACTTCCAAGGCTATAGGCTGGATACGCCAGCCTTAGGCCGAGAGCGGTGAAATAGCTCCATGTAGTCGTTTAAATCGCTGACAGAACGTAAATGTTTGCTGGCCATATGGTAAAATCGATTAACGAAAAAGTCTCGCTTACTAGGATATTATGGTGATGGTTTCATACTACTCAAATGGGGCAAGGCCTTAGTCGTCTGAAAAATAAGTAGAGATGTTCGTTTAGATTTAGCGCATGGTAGAAAGTACATTCGCAAAATATACGCTAGAAAGTTACATTTATTTTTTGTTGGGGAAGGCTCAACCGACACTGTAGAAAAAGACTTGCCCACGGTCTCCGAAAGGCGGCACACATATCCGCGGAAATATTCAGCAGTTCAAGCTCACCGGAGCACATATGTTTGTACAGCTTACCAAATACCCAAAAAAAAACAGCTGTTTAATTACGTCCTATTCTCCTTATATACGCTACCACCATTCTTATCGTAACTCACTGTTTGCGCTGTAGTCTTAAACTTAATCGCTACTTGTCCACCAGGTACAGCTTAAAAGACACTTCCAACCGTACTAAAATGTCCCAATGCAGGTTCTACGCAGCATTCACCAGCTGTTTCATGATAATTCAACAGTTGAAAGATCCGCCGTCTCCTCAGCTCACTCCGACGTGTGTTTATCAGTTCGACTGCTCCCATGGGGATCACTATATTGGATCGATCGTTGACTAAACTAATGTCTGGTCCCACCCTGGCTACGTGCGTAGTCACGTGGAAAGGACGAAGCGTACAGTTTTGGCCTATCTAGTAGGTACAGGATACCAAGTGGATACTACCACGGCCTGTGGTCATCTAAGAAGTTAGTCTAAAACCCACATGACTGGTTAGTATATGGATGTCGAATAAAGATGAAGCTGTTACCATCACTAGGGACATTTTATTTGGATGCCGCGTTTACACTGGCCGAAACGTAAGTGCGCACACACCACGTTTGAAAAAATAGAACCAGTGCGATTGAGCAATTAAACTCAGCCGTACGGAACACGTGACCCCACTGCACCAAATGATCCTTCCCTCCTTTAGTCAGCTGGCTTAGTAGTCTTAGTAATTAACTATGTATCAGTGAATGTAGGTGACTAAATGTGTGATTCTGATGATGGATTACTGAAGAAGCCTCNCCGTTGCAAACCGGCCAAAAGTATTTTACATCTAATTAGCTAGTTGTGCTCATCTGTATGCGTTCGTTGTTACTACGAGAATACGCAGACATTTGGCGGGCTTTGGCCGCGCATTTCAGGTTAATGATATATGGTTATAGATTAATGGTAATGATTCCTAACTTAAAACCGCACACCAACTAATCTAGAATCGTTATCCAAATGCTCACGGTTTATATGCCTTCTATTCTATTCACAGTGCGGTGCTCGATGGTTCCCGTCGTTTCAGCCTACAAAAGCTGTGGCGCGAATAGTCCTTTCTGCCTCAAAGCCTCAAACTTTTCTGAACCTATTTTTGATCAGTCTTTTGTTAGCCCCTGATATTTTAATGCATTTCCTGGCGGAATTTTTATTTTTTCATTGTACTCATCCATCCTTCTACGAATTTCATGTAGATCATCTGAGTGCAATTCATTTATCCGAATTTGCACACGGCCTCTGCCGACAGATAGTTTTTTTTAATGCATCGGTGAAAGGCGTGTTATGTTGGTCTTGTAGAAGGCCACCCTTCCCTATTCGTGTTAAAGATCATTAGAATGGCCTCAGATGTCCTCGGGCTCATACAGAAAAGCAGCAGCCCTTACAAAAATTCTGTGCACAGAGCTAAAGCAGTACTAACTAATGTCGCTTTAGGATGGTTAAACGAACAGTTTAAACTGGTTCTAGTATCAACTGAATTTTGGCACACAGTGGTTTTTAATCTCACAACAACCTCTGTGTTTCTTACAGTTTGAGAGGAGAAACGTGTCGGAATATGACTCTATCTCCAAACTAAATTCGTAGTGGAGATTCAATAATTGTATAATTGGTTAAACGTGTACCGTTTAAGCGATAAAACGTTCTCATCTACATAACACAAATGTTTTCAGTGATTACGGAAATTCCGCTAAAGCCTTTTGTTTTAAACTTTCCGTAAGGACATTCGCCAAAGCCGGAGGGATTGAAGATGCGATTGTTCGGCTTCATTTACTTTGCATGGAAAGTTAAAAGCTGATTAAGTGAGACTCAGGTCTGCTTCACATTTCCGAATTTTTCAGCTAGGGCAAACTATTTGATGCCAGTAGCCATTGGATTCGTTGGAAAAAACAGCGACTTTGCTAATATAAACACTCGGTTTATCGGTTGGTTTTTAAGGCATTTGTCGAAAACCTAGAAACCTCATCAGTTGAGGAACGAATTCTGTCAGTCTCATGAAGGGGGCTGCCTTGCGAACACTTGATAGGTAACTAAGACACGGTTGGGTTATACTTTGGCGATGGAAAAGGTAGCACTTACCTTGCTATATCACGGACAGCAGACAACCGCCAACTTCAACTTTTCGGTTAATTTTTGTAGTCAACCAGCAGGTAGAAAACTTAAGCTACATAATCACTTTTGTTCAATTCGACAATTGCCCTACCCTTATCTACCCTTGTCAATCTGCCTATATTGTGTATTTTTACAGGAATTCAAACGCTCTCCGCTTTAGTGGTGAACTACTTGGACCACCTAAATGTTGGGACCTACAGACTGTAACCAACTTTACCGGCAGTTTCCCCCTACTACATTGCAAAAACTTTTGAAGCTCATATTCAACAGTGAGGCTTATTGCTTCCTTCCTTGTAACCTCATTATCCAATGCAAAATTGAAGTCATTCTCTAAGGAATAACGCTGGCTCTCGCCCATTGGTTCATTTAAAGCTTTCCTCAACTAAAGGAATCAGCATATATTTCATGTTTATTTGTGATTTTTCCGGAACATTAGGCCTCAGAAAACAAATTTTTGAGCAAAAGTATTTTCCATTTTTGCGATGCTTTTTGGGCAACCTTTGCTTTCGTGAATAAGGTAACTTGAGGAAGGAAACACGGTTTGCAGATCGTGTTTCGGCCAACTTCCGTGGTGAGATGTCAAAAAAGCCCAGCAGTTAAAAGGTTTCTTCAGTTGAGTACTGACTTAGCCACTGAGTAAGTTAATGGAGTAAAGGCGAAGGAGGTATTCAAAGAGTTCGGAAGTAGAGATAAGGGAATCGACGTTTGGTGTGCCCCTTCCGAAGATGAGTGAATCTTTTAGTTTGCTTTCAGTTTCACATGTAGAGATATTTACCTAACGCTATTTTCTTCAATAAACAGAAAAACGTTTGGAAGCGCATGAAAAACCAGCGCTTTAAGAACCCTTCGTGGGCAGCTTTTCACTTTTTACAAAAGTGCTGCGTGGGGTCAAGGGACACGTTTACTGAACTGACAGGGGTTTAAAAGGACTGACATCTCCTTTGACGAACAACAAAGATCACTGTGGAGCGTCAGCTAAATAGTGTGGTCGGACATAGCTCAAGTCTGTATGTGCTTAAGCGCCTGATTGCCAGAGTATTACGGCCGACGAGCTTGTGGATTTTAATTAATTTTGCTCTGGTTTGCGTCCTTGGCATTATGTCAAAAAGGCACCTTAATAAAGCTTTTTCTTTGTGTTAGCTTTTATCAGCGAATTTTGAGCCAAATCGCCCGTTAACTCAAACCGGCTTGTGATTTGACAGTTGCTAAAAAATTAGTGTTACAGCATAATATGTAAATGAATGTATCAAGCCAGCCAACTGTTACTAAAAGTAATCACGGTCTATTCTCTTGCTTGCATGAAATATAATAGTAATAAATAGTAGTAAGTGATATTTGATAAACGCCGAGTGATCGCAGTGCCTTCAGCTAAGAAGACAAGTCTGCTGACGAATTCAAGTACCCTAAATCCAATAGCATTGAAGGGGTATAACTGCGTGTATAATGCTTTCAAAAATAGGCTCTTCTAAACTTGTAGATGGAGCTTAGAAGAAGGGCCGAAAGATTTCGTGGTTGTGTACAAGTGAACATCGGTGCCGTGGTGTCCATTTTTGCTTAAAGATATGATGTATGAGAAGGTCAATCAAATAACCCGAAGAATTATTATGTACCTGATGAAGAGAGATCCATTGATTAAGGTTATCCTTAAGGTTTGACTATAGTGTGTGAACCACACTTTTGGACCGGACTAACTAACTAGTTGCTCATACATGTGGTGAGACATCCAGACTGTTAACATAAGATTTAGGCTGCTCCCGTCCCAAATGCTAGTGTTTTGTGGTGAGGGGTTTGAAAGGACCTCCTTTTTTGAGTATCCTACTTGTCCTTTTGTCCACCTACGTTGTTCTAAGTGTCATTCACGCTTTGAGTTACAAAAAAAAACTACCTACACATCCCAGCAGCAGGTTCTTGATGACAGAAGACTGATCATCCCGTGTGATGCATCGTTTCTCATGTATATCCTGTCCCACTCTCTCTGACACCACCCATTATGAGGCTGAGAATGACAAAGGCATACCGACATACAAAAAAATTCAGACCGGATAATGAAAAACTAGCGTATATTTTGGTAGTGGAGGGAGGAGAAATTTTTAGTAGAGTTTCAGTAGAGACGACAATGGCGAATGTTCGACGTTAAAGTATGTCGCTGATCAGTACAGGACAAACGTACCAAAACTCCAGGGAGACGTTAACTGGAGTCTCCTGATAACCGAGACCGATAAACCAAGTTTGGTAAAGAGGTAAGGGAGTTTCAGCATGATATAAGACTGTCGTTGAGGTCTTTGGAGAAGTCCCATGCAAACAAACCACCAGTCTTCCAAAACTCACTGTATGCTGCTGAAGTGACAAACGCTGAGAGGTCTCCTTTATTCAGGCTTCTTTTGTGAAATGAACAGATATCTGCAAACATCAAACGTTCTAAAGAAATATACAGTAGAAAATAAATAAACAAGTATAGAATGAACAAACATTAGTATAATTACAAAACGCTCAGGGTAATATTAAATTAACTTCCGAAAGGCGGACAAGCAATCGTATGGTCACATTATGCAACTATGTTCAACTACCAATAGGTTTTGATAGCTTGATGATGTACGGCTTCTCTATTTATCAAATGACGCCGAATAAATACAATGGACTTTACCATTCGCCGGGTAAGTTCGTCCTGTGTTGCTTGGGATATGTAAAATGAATCAACAAGCATGCCTTAACGTTCAAAACGAAAGATGAAATGACGTCCATTTATTCAGAAACTGGAGGATCTACGTGCTAAAAGGTACTCGAGATAAAATGTCATAATGATCAACGTTTACGGCAAACACCATATAAAATGTACTTCACGCACTGCACCTCTTAGAAAGTGTAACGCTCTAGCCGGTACTCTTCAACAGTAGCTATAATAAGGGAACAACCAGACAGATATTAGAAGTCGTTTGGAAATGTTTTCATCAAAGCCTAAAGTTGTCACAAAATCTTGGGAAGCGCTCTTCGCTCATGAGAAGAATTTTTCCAAACGATGAAATCTGTCATTCTATTTGCAACGAATTTTCAAACCGACTTCCGAAATCCCAAGAAACACCAGGGTCGCTCAAACAACCAATCAGTGTAGCAGTGTTTGGGTGGCAATGGTTGCATTAAGGTTGCTTGTTTCTTTCAGAAAATTCATTCGCCTTGCTGCTTGGATTTATTTTTTAGCCTACAATACTGCATTTGCTGGGATGCGTGTGATGTTTTGAACAGACAGAGAAGTTGCAAGTCATGCATCAAAAAATCGATATAAGCAGAAGTCATAACCAACATCCGATTGCGCACAACTGCCTTAGAGGCGTTTCACTGAATGGCACCTGTTGTTTACAAAAGCGTGTGATGTTACAAATGAAACATTTCATTTAGCTTTCTAATTTCATGCGATGACATAAAAAACACTAATCGTATTGCTGCGCTTAGAGATGCGAACAGTTTACCACATGTCTAATTAGGATAAACGTTTGCTTGACTAGCTATCTGGTCGACATTTAACACATTCGTTTTCAAGGTAAATCTCACGCAAAAAACAGCGTTTATCTGAACGTTTTGCGTTTAATTTTGAATTGATAATTGGGATCTATTGTCAGCTTATTTAAAACGGACCATTCTGACGTGGTCTGAAGAACCTAGTTATATATATATATATATATATGATTTGCCACAAACAGAATGGCTTCGCCCCTCCGAAATCTGAATTCGTGGTAGCGTTCAACTAACTGTTTGCTTTAAACACTTAGAATAGCAGGGAATAAAATAGAAGCTCGTTTGGATATTTTGCGTTTTGGTACCTTGTAGTAGCTCGCGGTTAGTTCTGATTGAAGTCGTCCAATGCAAAAATACCAGTTTAGAGACCTTAAACTCATCAATATGCTTAATAACTGGGGATGAAATAAAATATCAAAGATGTCGCAGGGAAAATTGTCACCCCGCCATCTCCTCAGCTAGATGTTTGCTAATATCGCGTCAGTACTGGTGCTCTGCTCGGATAATTGACAACTCTGTTCATTGGTGTACATCTCAAAGGGCTTGATTTCAATTCATTGAAGCAGAAATTTCAGATACCGATGTTGTCTACTGGCAGTCACTAAAAACGAGTAAGGGGCTGCAAAAGTTTGCTGTCTTTTGGACCAGAGTATTGGCTCTTGTCAATAGTTTGCCTGTAGGCCAAAAATGACCGCTCAGTGTTTTTTGTGTGTGTCACACTCAAGATACTCCAGGAAGCGACTCTTTATTGATAATGAAAAATAATGGGTTTGCTAGGGTCCTGGTTTGGCTAAAATATGCGCAATGTGGATTCGCAAATGCTATTTTAGGAATAATGTCTTTGGTGACTTTCAGTGGAGCTCACAGAGAAGATACCTCTCCAACGGCACTACCCTGGAACTTTTTCATTAGCATTCATATTCACATCGCTGTCGTTTGAAAAGTTGTCCTCCTGTCCTCACCAAAGTGGGAAAGCACTGGTCTCGAGTCTTGCTCTCATTAGAACTCATCAGCAGTGCATATCCAATGACCGTGCCGGGGTTGGAACTCCACACAATGTGACACGCAAGGTCAGCCTTTTGCCACCAGTCTATCAGCGCAAGTTGGACGCATCTGAATTTTCACGTATGACCAGGCAAGCAGGTTCACGCTTGAGAGAATTTGATTTGCGTGCTCGACTCATCATCAAACGAGAACTCCGTAACAGTCCTCGTTGTGACGGTCGGTTGACCCGCCTGCCAGGAATTCCCAGTCAGGTGGCGATAGGGACGCTTGAGACCCGCTGGGAACTTTTTTGATTTTGATTCTGTGGTTTGCGCTTTATGTATTGTTTTGTTTGGTACCCAAGATTGTACTGAGTCTCAAGACTGTTGAGCTGTGGGACGAAGCATTGGGGGTAGTGACCCGCACAAAGTATTTTAACACTACGCCACATCAAACGTCTGGCAGGACTACAAATTAAGTATCAAGTGGTGCTTGCCAATGTATCAGACTGCACATATTGTAAGGTGGCTAAACTTGAATTGGTGTGATTGTATTGTGCATCAGCAGACTGGCAGGATAGTCTGGCCATCAGAGATTAGGACACGGAGGATAACAAGGCATTGAAACTATTCTTGGAATTTCGGTACCAGATGCCGTGTTTAAGTCTAGGGCGGTCTCGGGCCTCCACTTCTGCTAGAGCTCAAGAAAACTGTTCTCGATTAAGACGGATGAGAAGAACATCGTAAAAAGCAAAACCTTCTGGGTTCTTTAGCATAGCCAAATTACCCAGAAATACGGAGGTTTTTGTCCGACGCATGATAACTCCAGGGCCCACATACCGTTGTTGAACTAAAAACGAGAAGAAAAAAATACGGTTTATCCTAAGAAA